TATAAATTCAAAAAATTTTTATTGGCGCAAATGCAAAAAAAATATGCACAAAGAAAAAATTTATACGCGCGTTATATGTATGGGGAGCACTGCAAATTTAAATCCATGTGCGCTGCGCCTACTGCGCCGATCCAATTTACATCACTGCCCTAGACACAATATTGCCGATCCATCTTTGACCAACATTATCGACAAAGAATGGCCAGCATTAAACGGGGGATTATGGTAGAATTACATCACGTGTTGCTGTGTCGGTTTCTTCATTATTAATACTGTAATAATGATTTCAATGATTTGCATCGTAAACTTGAAATGGCGGTACGTATGGGCGTTGTTTTGCTTACCATTTAAGTAATATTAATTAAGCAAATAAGTAAATAATGCTTTTAAATAATACATATTTATGTATGACCTACGTAAAAAAGTGATACGTACATTTTTAGCAACGGTAGCATAATTTACTAGAAATAAATCTGGGTATTTGAGACGTCATAAATGCATCAAGAACCAATTTGGACAAATAACAAACTAACCAATCATATAAGCAGTATAACGCACGACGTATCTGGCATGTATTAGACATCATTGGCAGAAATAAATACTGGGCACACTAAACAAATTTGCAAGCATCTAGATACTGGTTTACTGCCCGACATAGTGTCAAATACCTGGCAGAATGCTAATACTCAAAGAATTAATTGAAAAATATAGCAATATAATTTTATAGTTATGCAGTTAGTATAATAACTTTGGCGAGTTAAGCTTAATAAATTTTTATTTTTACAAAGAGTACAGATAATTTTTTAGAAAAAATGGATGCATGAACAGTCTGCAGAATAATAATCTACTCGCTAGATTAAGCAAAGCTCAAATACTAGACTGAAAGTAGGCGACAAGTATATAACAGATAAATGAGTGATAAATCCTATTTTTTGTGAAAAGTTTTATTCAAACCTAAACAAAAAAAAAAATACATCTCGAAAAAAAACTAATTCACACATCTATTTAATATCCATTTTCCATTGGTGAGCTTCAGAAACTTCACTGCTTTTATCATGGTGTTTGACTTCAACTTTTTTCTTAAATGTCTCAACGAAATCATTATCGTCAGGTGTTTCATTCATGTCATGTGTGTTATATGTCTTTAAATATGAGAGCGTTTCACGTTGAAGGTCATCCATCGATGATGAATCTGGTTCCCGTTCAGCCTTAATCTTTATAGTAAGAAAAAAAATGAATGCGAGTATGGAAAAGTACTTTACGTATGAAATAAATCTATATGTACATACCATTGCTTCACTATCCGATGCCAACCTTTCATTCCAACCTGGGGCATGCTTCACATTTCCTACAACTTTTCCTATGGTAATTGACAGATAAAGATTAAATCATGATAATTATAAAAATATATATATCAATGAAATTTATTACAACCTTTGAGAAGACGTTGCTTCTCTCTCTCGATGATCAAAGGATCATTATCAGAAGCGTTACTGTTTACAAAATTTAATGATACGAAGCTTAAAAAAATCTCTTCCCACGCATTTTCACAAACAAAATTTGTATAATTATATAATCCTTTATAAAGTACAATACCTTCCGAGAGGCGTATAACATCGATAACTATAGCCACTAATCAAAGGCACAAGCTTCCGCACTTTCGAAATATCGGTTTGATGATGAACACCTAGTTTTGGTAAAACGATATTTCGCTTCGTGACATATCGAGAAATAAAAGACATTGTTAAGTTTTTGTCAAAGGGTGGTGGAATCACCAGGTTTTATTTTTATACACCAAAAAAATTGACATTACATAATTATTAAATAATAATTACAACATAACTACGAATTTTTTATCTTTCCTTATATGTTTTATAATATATACATTATATATATATATACATATTTATATACATCGATATATACGTATAAGTATAAATATTTATTAATAAATTCACGTGACATTTTAGGCACACCCTTTACAATATTTTTTTCATTTCTGCCCTTTCTTACAATAACGACTGCTTTTAAGGTATAAATGGGGATTGTAATGAAGGATTGGCCTTCTCGGAATTTGTAGCGGTGCCAGTTTCCATGGCATCCACTTTGGCTTTTCCTCTTATAAGAACAAGGCACGGATAACAACATACGATCCTGGTGCAATATTTGAATAAATAATATATGATAAGTTCATCATTATTAACACGCCAAACATCTGCCAACCATTGAATAACATTCAACATTGATGACATAATAATTGCAAAAACTGAAACTATGTAGGTGGTCGTAGCGAACAATGCCGCATTTTGCACGGCTAATGTCACTTGAGTTTGATTTGCAACATTAATTGGTTCGCCTTCAATTTCAGTACCATGAGGTGGTGTGAAATTAGCATTAATAACGTTTGGTTCTCCAGTAGCAAGTGGTTGTAAGGCACCTAATTGTCCCATCCTAGTGCTTGCTGCACAAATCGCCGCGGCAATAATCAATATTTGACTTATAATTCCGATCCCTTGAGAAACTTGTGCATCCCAACTTTTAGTTGATTGATGATAATCATTATACTCTGTCTTAATAAGATGAACAAATTGGAATGGTCCTCCAAAGTACAAAGGCCCTTCTAATTGTTTTGGCACTTTGGTCTTTGTTACCGTTGCAATAGCATGTACTGATGCTGCAATTACAAAAATTCCCGATTGTAATGTTGTTGTCATGCCTGAAATACTTGCTACTAAATCAAGCTGACCAAATTTCCATTGCGTAAGATCAAATGATGCAAAAAATATATTATAGAAAAATGCTCCAACTGATGTTGAGCTTCCTAAGGATGTTAACCAATCAGTAATAAGTGATGCATAATAAAGGCCAATTGTAATTACTACATCTAACTTATTGATTCTTGCTGTAATGTTCGCCGTTTCTACCGATCTTTCTGCTGGTGTATCAGGATCGATTTTTTCCAATTCATCTTCGACCTTATCTTTTGCGTGCTCTATTACGGGTACGGAATCCAACAATTCAAGTGTGTCTTTAACTGTTTCTCCAGCTTTAATATCACTACCACCTGGTCCACCTGGTCCGCCTGGCCCTCCTGGTCCTCCTGGTCCTCCTGCACCGCCTTTTCCACCGTTATCTTGACCTTTGTCACCTTCTGACGCTATAGCACCCGTTTGTGCGGATGCGCCGGGTGCGTCCGGTGGTATATTGATTGCCGTTTGTTTCGGGGGTTCTCCTGACATTTTATTGACTTCAAGTTAGTGGTGAATAAATAAGTGTAATCGTGAGATTGAAATTTTTTTCCTATTTAATATTGCGATCAACCAACTTTCGTTTCACACAAAAAATAATCAGATCCGTTAAATTCGGATCAGTCATGAAACTTTTCTCTCTTAAATCCTAATTTGTAAATTCGCGTTACATTTTTTTGACTATGGCCAAGCCATTTTAATTTCAAAAAAAGTTTTGTTATATCAGAGCATAGCCACCACCGGTAATGTTTAATATAGAATTTCTTGGTTAGGATATTAATGATCGATCGGTTTTAAGCCATTTATTTATTGAATATAAATTTACTGCTTTTGATCACAGAATATACAGTATATACCAGTATCGGTATATAGTAGTTGGACTATCCCGGATTTTTTTAATCTTAAAAATATTTATATATTTTTTTAAATTCACCTAGGCTAAAATTAGCATTAGACTAGTTGTTTTATTTATCTATTTTTTTTTTTTTAGTAAATTTATTTTTAATATATACAATACATCACGTACATATTTAATTAGGCATATTCGTATAAAATACTTGTACAATAGCACAAATTCGGACAGACGGATGTACTGTTAACTGCTAATACTTGATATATAGTATATATGCTTAACAAAGTATATATGTAGAATTTAACCTCGTCAAATACTCTCTTTTAATGATTAGGATCAAGTTAATAATGCATTTATCATACTTTGAGAGATGGCAAAGTATTCTAAATATTACTATCCGACAAACTCCTATGGTCATAGCGCAGTTTTTGTACGTTATTATTATTTTTTTTTTTAGATGTCCTAACGTAATGCAAAATAATTAAGTTTCGTACAAATAATATAATCGAAGGTAACAACTTATTATATTCGGGCCAAAATTTCTTCAAATTTCTAAAATTGGCCGGAAATTTAAATTTGAATTGAAATTTTTTCAAAATTCCATATATTGATTGGTCCAGGAAATACAAATTCTAAATGTTGGGCCGAGAAACTTAATTCTGATTAAAATTTTTTTTTATGCGAATAATGTGTCATAACTGAAAGCCACCAATCACAATTAGTATTTAAAGAAGCGACAAATAACATACTTGTGACATTCTTTCTTCTTTCAACAACTGTCTTTTTTTTTTTGACCCAACCCTTCTCACTACACATTGTAGTCTATTTTCCTATTTTAATAGCAGCCTGTTTAAAGCAGGCAAGAAACCACCAGCTGATGCTGCTTCGGGTGGGTGCTAGAGGTTGGACCCGTGAATATTCATGATGAAAATGTATATCCAATTAAAAGTGAATATTTGGTTACACAAGATTCACGAATATTCATGAATTAAATCATGAATATTCAACGAATATCTGTATAAATATTCTATAAGAATATTTTACAAATATCCGTATGAATATTCAACAAATATCTGTATGAATATTCAACAAATATCTGTATGAATATATCTGTACGAATATTCAACAAATATCTGTATGAATATCTGTGTGAATATTCAACAAATATCTGTGAATATTCGACAAATATCTATGCGAATATCCACATATAAAATTATATAATATCAAATACAAAGCTAATATGTGCTAAGTTTCGAAATAATATACTATGTATACAATATTATAATGCTAACATTATAGTATATGTAGTTAATACTTTATAGTATGTACGTGTAGGAAAATAAAATTATGCGAAAAAAAAGTGTGTACTTAGCTAATACTGTAAAAGAACCGTGGTTATTAGTAAGACCCAGAATCTAAATATCTCTGCACCTTGTGTTATTCAGGATTAAATTTCCTCCGTCATTATCAAGAACAATTATTTGTTAATGTTAGTCAGTTGATGTGTATTCACCAATCAGAACAATAAATTAACCACTTGCACATTATTAACAGATACTGTACTATATATCGATATGGTATATATCAAATAACCAAACGGTTTTGTTTAATCCAAATCGGCGGTTCCAATTTTTGGGGTACATACGTCAAAATTAGCCAATTTACATGACTATCACATGTTTTATTTGTAATATATATAAGCTTTTATTTCGTATATGTA